AGTGGGAGGCAGCGGAAGGCAGCGGGTAGTGTGTAACACTCTGTGTGTGTGTGTGTGTGTGTGTGTGTGTGTGTGTGTGTGTGTGTGTGTGTGTGTGTGTGTGTGTGTGTGTGTGCACGCGACTTCTCGTGCATTTTTTTTTTATATTGATTATTCAAACTGGCCAATCAATCAATCAATCAATCAGTTTCCGTGTTTTTTTTTTCTCTTTTTGTTTTGTTTTGTTTTGTTTTTTTTGCCATTATTTGGCCGTTTTTTTTCTTTTGCAGGGCCGTTGGCCCCTCCCTCGCCACCCAGTCCCCCCCACACCCCAAACCTGTCGCCCCCAACACGTCAGGGCTTCTGCGCGAACACGTCAAAAGCGTTCAGCCCCGTTCAGTGAACATCCATTCAACACGTTCAAAAGTTGAACGTGAAACGCGCGTTCAATGAATGCGTGGCAACATAGTCTCCAAGTAAGTTTGGGAAGTTGGCGCCTGGTAGTTCGAGCCTCGGCAAGGCCCAACATACCCATTGCTAGGATTGCTCGAATTGTTAGGATTGCTCGCAGTATTCAAGCAAGAATTGTTTTGAATACTCATAAGTGTGGTGGGGATAAGCATTGACAATGCGGTGTCCCTTTATGATGAAAAAGTTAGAAAACGAAAAAGTCAGAAAAACCCCATTGCTAGGATTGCTCGAAAGAGCAGGCATCCCTAGCAGCCCTGTGTACGGCTCCAGTCTATTGGTGGAGAGCAGCACCTGCTAGAGAAACCCTAACCGCCATCCAGAGGCCTAGCTCAGTTGGAATGGCAGGCAAGTAACATTCAGGAGGGCTTGGGTTCAATCCCCGTTCGCCTCATGAACCTTCCTGGGCAAGCTTGGCGCCCGCCACCTAGAGATATACTGTTGGTCCCCCCGAGTGGCATTGCACAGAAACTGCTGATGTTCATAGGGGGAGGGGACCAGATGGGAGGCACAGTGACTGGCCCACCAAAGAAGCTCGGTGTTGATGCTACCGGCTGACCCCTGGCCGATATCGCCCACCTGCTGTAGCAGGTATCGCACCTGTTGGTGGGTGCAGCTCCCACATGTTTCCCCGTTGGAGGCTTGAACACGGATGTGGCTGCCACTGGGTTCCCTGTATTGCTATAATGACAACAAAACAGGCCCGAAAGGCCGAATGTACCATGCTGAAGCTCGTATTGGTGACCACCACGTATGTCCCTCTCTAATCACCGCCTCCCTATGCGCGCCACCCCTATTCTCCAGGTGCCCAACCCATCTATGATTGCCACTTCCTGCCCTCACTCTCAGTCAGTGGCCCACCTGCTGACGCTGCTTCCAACGTGTGTGCTCTTAGTAGTCTAGCAATATATGCCAACTCCACTACTGCAAGACCTGACCACGGATGAGAGCAGCAAGTGAGAGTAGTAGTAGTCAACAGTGCCCGCCGCCATGACTGTTAACAGTGTTCAGGAGAGGGACAAATATATATTTATACCATTGGATGCTAGCAAGGCCTGAGGGTAGAGAGAGAGAGAGAGAGAGAGAGAGAGAGAGAGAGAGAGAGA